CTTGCCCCGTCTCCCCGGACCCTGTGGACTGTGGCTCCTTGAGGGTCGGGCTGTTTCTGATCCCGGGACGCCCCAGACCCGAGCTGGTGCGGGGAATGAGTCCGCTGGGGTCGGCTGGGTTGGGAGGGGTGTGCCGTGGGGGTTCTGGGGTCTGCAGGGTTGGGGTTTGCTCCTGGGCCAGGCCTGTGGCCCCTGAAGTGGCTGTTGCCGCAGCTCCGGCTGGCAGCTGAGATGGGAGGGAAGCCGCTGAGATTCGCTTTCTGTCGTCCGGCTCGCTCCGTGCACCTGAGGATGCGCGTGGGACACTTTCTTAGCTTTTACGACATGAACAGTCGTTATTAAATACATCACGTTTCTTTTATGGAAGCCCTGTAAGAATCTTCCCTCATTCTTTGTAGAAAATGTGCCGGAGGAGCTCCGAGAGCCGTTCTACACCGACCAGTATGACCAGGAGCACATTAAGCCGCCCGTGGTCAGCCTGCTCCTGTCGGCCGAGCTGTACTGCCGGGCGGGCAGCCTGATCCTCAGGAGCGACGCCGCGAAGCCCCTCGTGGGCCACGACGCCGTGATCCAGGCCCTGGCGCAGAAGGGTCTCTACGTCACCGACCAGGAGAGGCTGGTGACCGAGCGAGACCTGCAGCGGAAGCCCATCCAGATGGTGAGTCCCCCGTCGGGCCGCCGTCGGGGGCGGGCTGTCGCGTGGGTGCTGTTTCGTGGTCGTTCACGTGCTTGCGTGGCCTCGCGGTCAATCTCTGCCTGTCGGGTAATTTAGTGTGTTCGGTAAGCACGAATCCATTCTGTGGGAAACGCCACGGGGGACTCCAAGCTGCCCTGGGATGAGCGGGCGGGTCGTGCGCAGGACGGTCCGGACTCAGAGCGTTTGCCCCTTCAGTCCGCTGTCCTCTAGCCTCGGTGCGCGGTGCTGGGCGTCCCGAGACGGTGTTGGAAAGAAAGTGGTCCACACCGTTGGCGGAATCGCAGACTTCGGTGGGACTGCCTTGCTCGGAGGGGGAGACTGTGCTGAGAAATGCACGAAGTCGTGAGCTGGGGACGGGAGGATCTGCTTCCCCCCCGCACTGAGCGGGGTGGTGACCTCCTTGCTTTCGGCCTAGCCTTTTTAAAAACCCGTTTCTACTTTCAAGGAATGGAGACTGATGTGAAGTTTATTCAGACTCGTGGTAGTTCTTTAGGATAACTGGGAAGGGTCACGAACAGCTGGGAGACTTTCAGCGTCCGTCGATGGTGTCGGAGTCGCCTGTGCCACCTCCTGACCTGTGCGCCCGGTGTGTGGGCCTCTCACGCCTGCGAGCAGCTTGCCGGCAGCGGGCGGAGCGGGATTCACCTCGGACGTCCCAGCGGGTCTCGGGCACCTCTCGGGAGTCCCCGCACGGCTGCTGCTCTCGCTGTGACACTTCCCACGGTCCCCGGGCCAGAGGCCTGGTCACAGAGCTCGCCCACGACTGTGACCCAGTGTCTGCTGCGGCTGCTCGTTCAGCACAGATAGAAACGTGCCCTCGGGACCCTCGGCGAGGGAGACAGGCCACGCTGACGTCTCTGTTCCCGGGTGCGGCGTGTGCAGGCACTGGGCTGCCGACCGCGTTGCCTGGCTCCTCCCGCACGACCGACCCTGCTCATTTAAACCCGGTCGCAGGCGGGGCCGGGAGGAGTGTGGTTCAGTGACACGGGCCCCTGGCCCTCTGGCTCTGAATTCTGCCCGGGGCTGTCATCTCAACCCTGCGTCGTCTCGGCTGGTTGACCTTCCTGATGGTTGTGTGTAGCCAGAGCTGCCACCTTAGACCCTCTAACGAGGGGTCGGGACTTGTGTTCGGAACAAGTGCTCTGGTAGTTTTTGTGATCGAGGACGTGTGGAAATAGGGTTGCGCCCCTGAGCTGAGTTTCAAGAGGGTGGTGATTTCCCCGAGGCGGCTGTTATTTAGCAGCAAAACTAGAATTAGAGTCTGGGTTCGCTAGAGCACGACCTTCTAATTCACGGCGTGTAATCTGCGGCAGGCGCACTCGCTTCAGTATTCGAGTCCTGTTCACACAGCGATTGATCTCAGCCGAGGCCGTGTTGTGAGCCAGGCCCCTGGTGTGAATCCGCTTTTAGCCGTGTTTGCGCAGACGGGGGAGGTGGGAGGTGAGGATGGGTACAGTGGCTGCGATAACTCAGAGCCACAGGGTGGCTGTAAACCCGCTTTTGCCAGTGTAGGAAACGAGAGTCGGTGTTGATAAGACGCGATTGTTTAAGTAAATGTGGGCGTATAGAGGGTGTGTGATATAAAATGAAATTTACTTTCATGTGACTTATAAAATTATGTTTATTTTTTAATCAAAATTTTTTGGAAGTCATTTGATGACTGTAAGGTATACAGTGTTCTCTCGTGGCCTGTTGGTGTTTCAGTGATGTTTTCAGACATTCAGATAATAGTTGAAAAGTCACAGCTTAGCCGCGTGGGCTGGGTCTCGAAGGGGCTGTGAGCACAAGTTGAGTTTAAACTTTTCTGCGGCTCCAGGATCACGGAGTAGTTTCCCTACCGTCTCCTCTGGTTGCTGCCGGCGGGGTGGTGACTCGGTTGGTTTTCCCGCGGCCGGTCCGTCCCCCCACCAGGTCCCAGTGTCGGCTGGTCCCCCGCCCCCGCGGCAGCGCCACCTGCTGGAGCTCCGTGCCATTTGCTCATCAGAAGCTTAAAAAGTCGTCTCCTTGGTTAAGAAGATTAAAAATTTTGCTTTAGAGCAAAGGACTATATAAATGTAACGCTACAGGAGTTGGGGCGTTAACTCCCAGTTACCCTGGTGGAGCAATGCCTTCTGCACAGGTGGGGGCAGAACTTGGGCCCCAGCAGCGCCTGTGTCCCGCCCGGGAGCCGGCCTAGGTCGAGTTAGGTCTCGGCTCCTGCGGCGCCTCAGCCTCGGGTCTTGTCTCGGACGGGGCCCCGCTCCTGGCCGGTGGGAGGTGTTCATCCCTCTCGCTGGGCTGGGTGAGTCTCCTGGGAAAGTGTCCCTGCTGTCCTCCTGCCTCCAGCTGGCTTTTCACTTCCAAAGACCTGGGGTGGCCACCTCTGTTACCGAGGGCCGCGCCAGGACCCCCCCCTCGGGCCTGTGCGGAGACTGTGGGACCTGTCGGGGCGGAGCGGGGTGGGGGCAGCTCCGGGGGTGGCCTGACCTCCTGCGGTCGGTGCCTGTTCCTGGCAAGGCCGGTGCCGTCTGGCAGGCCCTCGCCCTTACGCACTCGGCTGGGAGAAATTTGCTGACAGACTTCCTCTCGGGCAGTCTATTGAGTGTTGAGCGGAGCTTTTCCTGATGGTAGCTTCATGTCATAAAGCACAGCTCCTTGAATTTGGTGTGACTTGTAGACTCCGAGGTTTGAAGCCCTGTTTTTGGCTCAGCCCCACACGGGCCTGGACACCCTTCAGGCCTGGAGGGCGCCCATGCGACTCAGGGCTGTGCCAGGAATGTCACGGCGGCCAGTGGATGACAGGACACAGCCGTCCTGGCCCACAGTTGGCTCGAGGCTGCAGCGGTTTCGCTGAGTGGTGGACGGGCCTGGGCTGTGTGCAGAAGCCGCGGGAACAACCTTGCCCGGGCACCGTGGTTAGGGCGCTTGGAAAGTCCGTCCTGTGCTTAGCGCTCATTGGCGGACGTAACCGGCTGTGTCCGTGGTTAGGGCACTTTGTAATGCCTGGGCGTCTAAGAGCCACTACGTACCACTTACGTGTCTAAAACTAAAGCAAAACAACCAGAGGCCAAAGGAAAGAGGAGCGGCCTGGACGAGCGGGAGGAGGGGCTGGGGCTGTGCCCTCGGGAGCGGGAGTGCTGGCGCCTGGACTGGCGCTGCCTCCGGGGCGGGCAGGGGAGACTCTGCCAGGTTCTGCGCGGATGTGACGCCTGAGCAGAGAGCAGGCGCAGGTGATGCTGAAGTCTGTCAGCCGCCTTGCTGGGTAATAATTACGACATCGTCAAAAACGGGAGAAATGGGAAAAGGAGCCTCCTCTGGGGGGACGGGTGCCCCACAGCGGGGTCCCCAGCGAGCAGCTGAGGGCAGTGACTGGCGCCGTGTGCCGCCTCCAGCACGTCCGTCGGTGCTTTCGTGCGAGTCTCGTCTTCTGTGGTCTTCCCTTCTGCGACCGCTTGGTCGATGTTCCTCGCGTTTCAGAGCACAGACCAGAGCTTTCGGCTGTGGCTTGAGCTCCTCGTTTCCCCCGCAGAGCGCGCACCTGGCGATGGTGGACACCCTGATGATGGCCTACACCGCGGAGATGGTCAGCGTGGAGAAGGTGGTCGCGTGCGCCCAGCAGTACTCCGCGTTCTTCCAGGCCACGGACCTGCCCTACGACGTCGAGGACGCCGTCACGTTCTGGATAAACAAGGTGGGGCGTCCTCGCGGGAGTCAGAGCGAGTCCCGACCGGGAAGCCGAAATCCTCCCCAGACGCCCGCTGCTGTGGGCCGAGGGTCTGTGCCCCAAAGGTTCCCGTCTGCAGAAGTGCCTCGTGTATTTCACCCGTGGCCTTAGGTCCACACACTGAACCCACTGTGGTCCGGGAACGTGTCCGACGTCACGGCTTAAGGACTTGATTCAGGGTGTTTTCTGTCAAATGACAGCATTTATTTCCACGTATCGTCCTGAAAGAGACTGTGGAATTTTACTCAGTAAGTTTCATTGCTTCCCAAGCATTAAACGGAAGGTACTGGGTGCCTGTTTCTCTCAGGTACCCAGCCTGTTCCCAGGGAACGTAACAAGTGGAGTTGATTTGAGACGGTCAGGTGCAGCCCCTCCCCGTAGGACACGTCCTTCTGGTCGGAGACAAAGTGCTCTTCCCTCGAGGGGGCTGACGTTGGCCGGCAGAGGTCTGCCCTCAGGCCTTTACGGGGCCTGTTCTTTGATTGCTGTATTTGAATGTAAATTCAAATCAGTGTTTTTGTGTTTAAGGTAAATGAACATTTGAAAGACATACTGGAGCAGGAACAGAAATGGAAAGAGCATCACACGGTGGAAGCTCCCGGAGGGCAGAAGGTAAATATGTCAAAGAAAAGCGGTGCCTTCCTGAGACCCTCTGCGTCCACGTTGCTGCTGTCGGGGGATGTTAACAGCTGTGGTCATTAAATTATTTTTGAGAATATTAACTGTACCCTCGAAGGCCAGGCCGTAAACACCAAGCAACCAGAAGTCCAGAACGGAGGTGAATTGAATGATGGCGTTTAGGAAAAATTGTTAGTGACCAGAGCTCAATTTCTGAGGCTCTTTTGGCAAAAATAATGGTTTTGACTTTGGTAAAATGTATGAGGCAACAAGAGAACGGCCTCGGGGCGCCGGCCTGTGATGACCTGTAGCCGACCGGCCTTCAGAAGCGTTTTCCCGGGACGCTGAGTTGTCCTCGCGGCTGCTCTGTGGGGAAAGCCGGTCACCGTAGGTTCATGCTTTAAAAATTCTCGGGTCGGCACTTAGAATTTTCTGCTTTGAACATTCGTGTTGGTCACATAGTGCGACCGAAAGTGTTTCCCGCAGGAGAGAGTGTCTCACCTCCTCCTACGGGCGTTATGACGAGAGCCCTGAAGCCTGTTGTGCCGCATGTGAGCTGCGGTGTAAGCGTTTGTGGTTTCCCCGAGACCCTCCCGTCTGGGGGATGTCTCTTCATTACTGGCCTGTGCTCTGGGCCCCGTCGCTGGTCGCGGGAACCACTGAGAAGGGGGAGGGAGCTGCTTGGGCACCGCCAGCCTCAGCAGAAAGTCCTGTGGACGGGCACCTGGGGTTTCGTCCGAATGTGGGGTCTGGGGGTCATGGTGATTTTCCCCATTTAGTTACCAACGAGCCCCGGGAAGCACTGACTGCTCAACCCTGCGCCTGTCGCTGCCCCTTCCCTGAACTTAAACCAGAGCAGAAACCTCTTTTCCTGCCAGGCGTGGCCGTGGCTGCCACCTGGTGGGCGGCACAGTGGCACCTGAAAGTGGGGCACTAGGTCACGGGGCCTGTGGGTGCAGACGTGCTGTTGGGAGTCAGAGGCACGTGGGGATCAGCCAGTGGGCCAGCGGGTGGTTTTCGAGAGAGCTGTGAACCCATGGGTTTGTTTTCTCGAGTTTGTGACGTTAACTATTGAGAGTTTGTTTCTCAAAATGTTAGAGATACGTGTCTGTTCAGTGTAACGGTTGCCACTTTTTAAAGAGACGTGTTGAGGTGTCCTGCGGGGCCGGAACGGGGCGAAGGAATTGCTTTGCAGGAAAGACTCCCCCCTTCGCTCTAATTGCTTCTCACTTACGGGCAGAGCCTAAAATAGCCGCTGTCCCGGAGCGAGCCGGTGAGTGCTGTGCCCGATTGCCTCCGCCCCGGCGAATTCCGCCTTGACCGGGCCCCTCCGCAATTAGCCACGGTAACCCACTTTTCGTTTAACTCCATTTCTTCAGACGGTGCCTGAGGAACTTTGAGAAAAGGGTCTGAAGTCAGGTCCGTTTGGGACGAGCTGCCTCGCCCGGGCCCCTCCCAGAGTTGCCGCCCATGTAGGACCCTGAACGCCCAATAGAGAAGCTTGTCCTGTCTGTCTCCGAAACGTGTTTGACCTTTGAACTCTCTCGCGAATGACAGACCCTGACAGCCCACAGGCTTCGTGTCTCTGGAGCCCCCTCTGGGAGACACTGATTCCTCCCCCGTAATGTGGTCGGTTTGGGTGCGTTTCGTACGTTTCTAAACACACGGGCCTCCCCCTCGGGTTCGATGCAGTGAGTCTCCCTCAGCTGCGTCGTTGGTTTGACGCTTGGGTTTGCCTTGGGTTCCTTTTCACACTATTATTTCAATTAAATAACCATGAGGACCTAACCCTGACCCTAAATTAGGCGACTTGTGTTTGGAATTCTACCCCCGAGACTTTTCCATGGTTAGTTTTTCTTGTGTGGTCAACACCAGTTAAGTTCTTCCTCTGTGCCTATTGCAAAGATACCTTTCTCCAGTAACAACACCCGGACCTAGACCGTCCCTGTTGTTACCAACTCACTGGTGCCGTTCCATGAGGAACGTGGCCTTTTAAACATTTTAAAATTCCCAGGTGGTGCCGTGACTTTTCCTCCAGGTCACGGTGTAGAGATGATGGGGCCCGAAAAGGCTTCTCTGGGGCGTCCGAGTGCCGTGGTCCTAGCCTCTGTCCACGGGCCCGAGAGGCTCCCCCTCGGCTCCCTCCCCGGGGGGTGTTCCTGGGTGGGACCCACCTGGGCCCGTTTTCCTGGGTGGTTTCGCTGGAAACTTTCTGACCCCAACACGTCTACGTTTTTAGTTAGGACTCTACCGTAAGCAGGCCTGTCCTTGTCGACCGTCTTGTTCACCTGCATGAACTGATGGGTTTGTATTTAATGGGTTGTTACCTGTTTCTGTCCATATGTATTTTTGTAATAAGCTATATGTTTTAAAGTGAAGTATTAATTGACATTGAGAAACGTTAAGCAAACTGTGAATGTGGGACTCTGCCGGCGGGAATTTGGGACTTAACTGGAAACGATTCTGATGAATTTTCCCTCTCCCTTTGTTTCTGCTGCTCCTCTGAAGTCTCCTTCCAAATGGTTTTGGAAACTGGTTCCCGTAAGTTTGCTCTGCAGACTGTCATCCGAGCGTGGGTCCTGCTGGTCACTCATCTCGTGCAGATTGTCACCCAGTGTGGGTGGGACTGGAGGTGTCGGTCACACGTAAACACGGGCAGGAAGTCCAGCCGCGCTCCGGGTTGGGAGCCGTCGGGGGCGCTCGACGGGGAAGCACCTTTCCTCCCCGGTCAGGACACAGGCCAGGGAACCCGGTGTAAAGAGAAAGCGTGAACGTAGATCCCCGTTAGCTTTAATAACACTAGTAAGAGTGAGTTTGGGTTGCATGTGTGACCTATTCGTGTTTTCAAGTCATGCTTTTGGAAGAATCATTTCCTTCTCGGCATGAATTGTAGGGGACGCTGTGATAAAGTGACAGTGGCGTTCCCAGGGTCCCCGCCGGGACTGGACGTAACCCTGCAGCCCTGGCTTCGCTCGAAGGGCTGATCTCCAGGATCCAATGGGGGGTCAGACCGCTGAACGCGCTCGGGCCTCGGAGGCCTCTGGCTGAGGGTAGTGAGCGTGGACGTTGCCCGCCGGCCGCCTGCCCGCCCTGGGACTGGGTGACGCGGCCTCGGCCGCGCGGATCCGCGGCTGGAGTCGCTGCGCTTGCTTGTGGCGCCTCGGTGTCCGGGCCGGGCAGTGTGCTCGCGATGTCGCCCCCTTTCCTCCAGCGAGGTTTCCGATCGCTGGGCGCCCTGAGGGGACCGC